GAAGAAAGAAGGTATTTGGGGAAAAAGGAATAGGAAGACAGAGAGAGAAAGAAAAAAGAGAGGAGAACAGTGAAATGGACAGAAAATAAGAAGAAGAAGAGGAGAGAGAGAGGGGGGCAGCAGTGGTGTTATCATCAGCTCTCATTCTCAGCATGGAATCTATAATGGGAAAATCAACCTCTCTGACTCCTGTGTAATTGGATTTGCCACATCTCGTGCTGAATCAGAGCCCAGTGGGTAGCACAAAGCTTGTTAAGATTGGACAAGCATTGCTGGGCTGAGGAAAGGTGGGGCGACGGCAGAGGTAACCTTGACAACTTTTCTGTGGTGGAGAGTGAATAATTCAATATGCTGAACACTCAACTGGTCACACATTACAGTCGACTGACTGAAAGCTTTCCAAACATTAATCAGTTCATAAATGTGGTGAAACCTGAGCTTTTATCACATTTAGGTCGTCGCAGCAGAGAAAATGGACACCTGTGTTTCCTTGGAAGGGGCATGTTTTTCTAACACTGGTTACTAGGTTACAGAGATAAACCTGGTATAATTCTGCTCTGGCCACATATGCAACCACTACTTTAAGGCATGACAATTCTATTTCATTTACTTAGTATTCACAGTGAATTAGAATTTCCTTTAAGTGTGGCTATCCATTACTTTCTCCCTATCCACTGTCACCAGGTGATAATTGAAAAACTTAATCCAGTTTCTTTTGTACAATTGTGCCATTTATCTTTACAGTCAGGTGAGTAGCTGCAGTGTTCTTGAGATAGCAAATGTGGTCAGATGCAGAGTTAGTCTAGTTTTGTAATATATAATTTGCCCTTATAGCCTTCATTTTATTTCATTTCAACTTTTTGCTTTCAATTCATTTTAGTTTCAATACAATAAACATTACAATAAAAACAGATATTTTTGAAAGCAGACATTCAAGTGTCAATAAATATGTCTATCAAAGCCATATAAAATAAATTTAGATAAAAGATTTTTTTTTTTTTTTACCAAACTGACGTACACTACAACTAAGGATATTTCCTCCATGTTTTAAATGTGTTAATAATTAGTTTTTTAAGTTTAAACAATCATTTCAGTTCAAAGGTCTTTTCTTTTCTTTTTTATTGATTTTATTTAACCAAAGTGTTTTTCCACATCTAGTTTAAGTTTAGGTTTGATTTTAGTTAACCGTAATAACCTTGGTTGGATGGTAATATTTTATTACAGACAAGTAATGTTGTGTTTTGGTAGTCTCCAAAACAACTGGATGAAGTGTAACTTGACTTTTATGCCACCCGGTGACCTTTGGGTTTAAACAAATGACTACCAATTGAAGTTCTCACAGGTCAGCTCATTGTTGCCCTACCGTTGTTTGTGTTGTCACTCATTTCCTGTCAGTTCAAGTCTTTCAGCTCTCCAACACAGGCAAAACAATGCAGTCATTTGAATTCTATCGTCTTTAATTAAAGGTGCTGATAATTGTTTTCACTGAGGCATAAAGTGTGTTAATTGCATTTGGGCACCAGCCTAGTAGAATTTTACAAAAGCACAATTAACACCAGCAGCTCAGGCGGTAGCTCAGTAGCAGTGGTGCTCCCCTGAGTAACATTGTTATAATGAATACTAAAGAAGTGGTGATTAGTCTGTAAATGTCCCCACCTAATCAAAGATCAGTAACAAGACCTGGAATGTGCCAGTTAGAAGAATGGGGCCTTTTTTTACTGTTGGTGGTGATGTAATGGAGTTTAGATGGAGTAGTTTGGATCTTGGATCTTGTTTCTGTATTGTTATGTTACACTCAGTAGAGCAGTAGATACCCAGGTAAACGCTGAATAAGATCTCTCTGTCCCTCCACCTACCACAACATGAATGATTAACTACTCGGCCCACAGAGCCCTTTGCCTGAGCCTGGTTCAGCATGATGTGGAGAAACATATATGTGCACATACAGCATCACCAGCATAGTACTACCACAGCATGCTGCACCAGTGAGCAACTAGCTAAGGGTGTTTTTTCCTATTTACATTATAGAGTCCTGACCTTTGGTAACTAACTTTCAAGAAGCCAGTCTTTCACTGATTACTTCAATGCAAGCAGACACAGGAGGATACACTATTTTTGTCTCACTTCAGTAGGAGGGGGGGGCCTTGTTTGACTTTGGATCCTCACTGAGTTTCTGCACCTGGCTGCAGCAATAATACAGCTTCAGAATGCAGGTTTGGCTTTTCTCTTATGCTGTAACCATTGCTGTGTGTTCTCTTCATCACAAGGAGTTTTAAAGTAACCCTGTGTGTTATGAGTGGTGTTGAGGCCTGGCCTTTATTTCTCACAGTCACCTAAAAGCTAAGATAATCAATTCAGTGAGTTTGGAGGTAACAAGATATATTCTTCTTAGCAAAAAGGTGTAAAATATCAGTTTTCATTTCTTTTCATGAGCAAAGGGATTCATGTTAAGAGGGGTTGGTAGACAGATTTGGTAGCTTGATATTCAGCATGCAGGTCTAAAAGCGGTCTTACTCATCTCATCTCGTCTTACTCAAGTCTTGCTAAATGATGGTTTGGGAGAAAAAGAGCCATTGTGAGATAAAACTGTGCTAAGCTAACAGGAAGTATTATTGTGATTAAGTGGAGCTATTCTTTACTGGATGTGAAAGTTTCAACTGCAACCCTCTTTAAAGGGGAGATAACTTTTTCCTGTAAGTTCATAAATTGTCCTAGCAGCTGCTCCCTTCCTCATCTCACCGATGAGGTCACTGTCTCAGGCACCACTGACACTCTAGACCAAGATGAGGAACCATCTCTTAATTAAAATACAATTGGTTGCGCTCTGAGGTAGCAAAGCAATTCACCTGATCTGACAGCGAGTTTAGGGATTCATTACATAATCCTTCTTTCCACTGTGCGTCAGATTGTGCCATCTATTGTTTAATTATAAGTATCTAGTTCTGTTTCTAAACTGTCCCCCCCCCTCTCTCTCCATATATATGTGGAAAAACAGAGTTACAAATAACACAAGGATGAGGGGAATGCTTTCAATAATTAGGCGCTTCTTTCAGCTCAGACTCTAAGGATTTAGCCTTTCTTGCATAGTGTCATTAGGAACGCTCCCGCTTGCTGCAGACAGCTTTCTTAAAAAGAAATACCTGCAGAACACCAAAGGAAGCCTGAATGGAAACCAGCAGACCTTTAGATTTAGTCCAAAAATCTAAAACATTAGCATTATTATCATGGCTGAATGCAATAATCCTTCTCTTGACAGGAGCTTATCTGTTCATGTTATTACTTGTAATACTGTATGGCAGATCTCTAAGTCACGCTGTCCCAGCACATTGTCTGCTTGTGCTGCCCTGAGAGAAGTTTGTTCCCATGAAAGAAGGGGGTGTCAAAGATACCCCACAGCAGCACCACTACCATCACAGTGCCAGATTGATTCTGACGTCCAAAAAAGAGTTCCTTCAATGATATTGTTCACCTGTCTCATTGGCTTAAAGTGGGTGGGTGGGAGGTGGGTGAGGGGGGCCGGGTGAGGGTTATTGGTGGGGACACGGGGTGAGGGGTATTGTTGCCGAGAGGGGTGAGAGCACTGGGGGTCGGGGGCTGACAGGTGGAAAAAAAAAACAACAACAAAAAAACCCCCACTCTCATCTGACTAGCCTCCTCTATCCTTCTTTGAGGCCCCATATGAGCAAAGTAATGAAGTCCAAATTACAGCACAAGATTGCTAAGAACAAGCCTCTATTGTTTGGCCTCGGGGCACACTAAAGCACACTAAATGAGTGTCACAGCAAGCAGCGGGGCACAGACCGTTAGTGCACTATTTAGTCTGTCCCGTTGTCTCAAGACAGCCCCGTTTCAGAGGTTCTCAGATCAGACAAATACTGCTCCCCTCCTCCCGCACTCCTTTCGCCTTCGCCCTTCCTCTGTACAGCGAACCCCTCCCCAACTCCTCACCCCAAAGTAGGCCAAATCTCCTCTATTGTGTTTCGACTGCCTAGTGTGAAATTCACTGTGACGTTAAATGTTTTCTAATGAATAATTACTGAATGGTTATGCAGGGGGAATATGTGTAATGGATTGTAGACTGCATTTTAAAGACGTCTTTTTTGTCTCTGCTCCGTGGTATTTACAGGACAAAAACACTTGGCCTTTCTCAGAAGAAACGAGGGCCATAGGCGGCGGATAGAGGCAGGGGAGGAGAGTGGGTTGGTGGGGAAGAGAAGGAGGACTTTGTGTCAATTAGATCCAATGGATTATCTTTTTTAATGTTTTACAGAGAGAGCTGAGAATCAAAGGACTTCTGCTTCCAAAGGAGAGAGAGAGACAGAGAAAAAAAAACACAAAACCAACAAAAGCTGTGAAAACCTTTGGTCCGAGTGTTGGTGCTGCGAATGCAAAACAGATTGGTGGAATTTTTTTCCCACTACGCTTCTTAAATGTGCCGCTGTTTCGGGCTCCCCAAGTCCATTTGCACAGTGTGTTGTGTTTGGTTGGTGCGTCAGCTCAAGTGAACCATGGGCTGCCAGCCAAGGTCCCTGTGTGCCGTGTAGCGATCATTATCTTCTGTCTGTTCATCTGCACAATCACAGACCTTAGCTTCAAAGACACACAGGACCTCTGGACCTCTTGCTTCAATAGAACTAAAGGACACCATGTTTGTTCTTTTTATGGCACTTTTTTTTGTGTTGTCCTCCCGCTTGGAGCCATTAATCCAAACATTCAAACATCCAGCTGCAGTTGTCAAAACACATGACTGAAAATTCTGATATAATGTTGTATATGCACAACATGAAAATGTTACTTTTGCTCTAAACTTTGCTCATCTCATTAATATGGGGGAAATAATAAATAAAGTAAAACTGTCCCTGTGAAGCACAGAATATGCGGCTGTGTTGCAAATTTGTTTTAGACATATACATTTTTGGAAGTAAACACTAGAAATGTCACTTTTCTTAGTGCATTCAGCTGCTATGTTGTTGCTACAACTTGTTGCACAGGGTCAGCTAGACATGGAGGGTGCCCTGACTGCCAGGGACCGTGTGGGAATCCAGGATTTTGTACTGCTGGATGAAACCACGGAAGCTGCCTTTCTGAGCAACCTCAAGAAACGCTTCAGCAAGGATCTCATCTATGTGAGTACAATTTAAACCTTACGTTCACACGTGGCATTTTCTTTGCAAAAAATTTGATGATTTTTAACTCATTCTTTTAGACTTACATTGGAACGTTGTTAGTCTCTGTCAATCCATATAAAGAGCTGGACATCTACAACAAGAAGCAGATGGATATCTACATGGGTGTCAACTTTTTTGAGCTGCCGCCCCACATGTGAGTTTGTATACACACGCTTTTTTTGGTGCACCTGTTTACACCAGTAAGTCTAAACTTCATCCTACTCCTTTTCCAGCATAAACATTGTGTAGACATGGAGATAATCACGAAAACTTGTTTTTAATTTTTCTTTTCTCTTGTTATTCTAGTTATATTTGCATATTCAAAATAAAATCAACAGCATCACTCAGTTCCTGCAAAATTGTCGGCAGCACGTCCATGATGGGAAACTCACGTTCCACCACATCTTAAATGTGCTGTATGGGATTGAGACCTGGTGACTGTGGAGGTCATTTATTGCAGTGTTTAATAAATCAGCGTGAGATGATTTGAACTTTGTGACATGGTGTGTTATCCTGCTGAAAGCACCCATAAGGAAATGAGCCCACTCCTGTGTTCTTTCAACTGAAATAACTCCGAGTGCAGTTCAAAGTTTACTACTGAAATACTGTAACTGCTCTGCAACCCAACAGTTATGCCTTGGCGGATAATGCGTACCACACCATGCTGACAGAGTTCAACAATCACTTCATCCTCATCTCTGGTGAGAGCGGAGCAGGAAAAACAGAGGCCTCCAAGAAGATTTTGCAGTATTATGCCGTCAGCTGTCCAAGCACCACTCTGCTAAACACAGTCAGAGACAAAATGCTCATGTCCAACCCCGTCCTGGAGGTTTGATGGTTACTGCATGCTGTAGAAGTGCATTGACATATAGTGAAGAGGGACAGATCATCAATTACTCTGAATTATTTGACTTTTTTCCCCCCCACAGGCTTTTGGAAATGCCAAAACACTAAAAAATGACAACTCAAGCCGATTTGGGAAATATATGGACATCCAGTTTGACAGCCAGGTAAGGATCAGATGCTGTATTCACAGAATAGGAAAAAAACTTAGCTTACTGTTGTTTGGTGCCTTGAGTGTAGTTGGTTGTGGTGTGATTATTTTTGCTATACAAGACAAAAAAAGTTGTAGCATGAGTACAAACAACATTACATGAAGCCTGAAAAACATCAAGTTGGTTCCAGATTTATTTAATTTATGTAAAAAAAACGACGACTGCTTAACAAAAGTCAACTTTACTGAAACAGAAGGAGATTCTTTATCCTAACCAGTTTTCAATCTGGCCACTGGACCATAGGCTGTGTTTTTTCTGCAAGTTGTAGAGCTGCTGTCTTTAGGATCATGATGCCCATAGGGGGATGCTGTTGGAGGCCATATCCTGAACTACCTGCTGGAGAAATCAAGGGTTGTGCATCAGAATCACGGGGAGAGAAACTTTCACATCTTTTATCAGCTGGTAGAGGGAGGATCAGATGACTTGCTGCATCAGCTGGGCTTGGAGAGAGGTTGCCAGCATTATAACTATCTAACACAGGTACGCATAAGTCAGTGGGCTTTGTTGTTAACATAGAATCTGATAAGAAAGTAGAACACTTTCAGAAACAGTGTTTTTTTTTTTTCTATGTTCATTGTTTCTGACAGGGGCAGTGTCCCATTGTGCCCTCCATTAATGACAAAAACGACTGGAAAACAGTAAAAAACGCACTTCAAATCATCAGCTTTGATGAGACTGCCACCAATGTGAGTTGGATGCTGTTGCAGATGGCTTCATTCACAGCAGTCAGTCTTGCTTATAAATTATAATTTTGTGCAGCACTTGTTTGAGGTCATTGCAAGCGTTCTCCACCTGGGGAATGTGCGGTTTGACTCTGATAGTAAAGGTCACGCCCTCCTGAACAACAACACAGAGCTGCACTGGGTCTCAAATGTAAGAAAGTAGAAAATATAAATTCTTTAGCTATTCATTAAGCATATCAATAAGCTTTTTAATGTTTAGTTTTCTTCACAGCTGCTAGGAGTGGATGCACACAGACTTCAAGAGGGCCTAACATTCAGGAAGATTGAAGCCAAAAAAGATCAGGTTCACATTTGCTAAAACCTTCTTTAGTTTTAACAATAACAGACTTGTGTTTCTGTTTAAACTATAAACTCAGGTATGATGCTTTGTTACTCTAAAAGGTCCTCAGCCCTTTCACAACTGATCACGCCATCTATGCCAGAGATGCCTTAGCCAAAGCTATCTATGGGCAGACCTTCACCTGGCTGGTCAACAGGATCAACGAGTCAATGGAGAACGAAGTGACTATAAGGATGTATTTCAAATGACAAATCTCACCTGCCAGGATGTGTTTTTATACGTTTTTTCTCTTTCACTAGGACCCTTCACGAAAGACTGTTATAGGGCTTTTGGACATATATGGATTTGAGGTTTTCTATGTAAACAGGTAGGTGTAATCTTTCTGTGTTTTTTTCTTTTTAATTTCAGCTGCTTTTGCAAGCTGATAGCTGTTTTATTTACCTTATAATCTTTATGAAACCTGCAAACTTACCTTTCACCTCTTCCTTGATCCTTTCCCTCAGTTTTGAGCAGTTCTGTATAAACTATTGCAACGAGAAGCTGCAGCAGCTTTTTATTGAGCTGACACTAAAATCGGAGCAGGAAGAATATGAAGCAGAGGGCATTGAGGTAAACCCCCCTCTCCCCAGCAAACAAACAAGCAAACAGACGGACGTGCAGAAAACATATAAGCGGCTGCTTTTTTTCACGTGCTTATAACTGTGTATTTCTCATCTCTTTTTCCACCAGTGGGAGCCAGTTCAGTTCTTCAACAATAAGATCATCTGTGATCTAATCGAGGAAAAACACACAGGAATTATATCATTACTGGTGTGTATGTTCACACTGGGATGGCCATTTATAACTGTTTTAAAAAATACTGCTCAAGATTATTCACAATGATTATTTTGCAGGATGAGGAGTGTCTAAGGCCAGGAGATGCCACAGATCTGACCTTCCTGGAGAGACTGGAAGAAAAGATGGGGAATCACCCCCACTTTGTCACGTGAGTAATGACCTAAAATACACACACACACACACACACACACACACACACACACACACACACACACACACACACACACACACA